AGTCCAGCCGGCCCCCCGCCGCACTTACGCGCTCGTGAGTCCACCGCGGGGCAGAACTGAAACTTTCTGGGGCCGAGCGGAAGAGTGCGGGACTGCGGTGCCGGCGGCCATGACGTGCACACCCGGCCGCGGGCCGCTGCGGACTACAACTCCCGGCCCGCTCTGCGCGGCCGAGGCCTACAACTCCCGTCAGACCCCGCGGGCAGGTGGGCGGGGACTAGGATGCGGCTCCCGGCATGCCCCGCCTCCTTTCACACTCCGCCCCTCCCCGGGGCGGGGACACACACACACACACACACACTCACTCTCACACACGCACACACTGTCTCACACACACACACACACACTCACTCTCACACACACTCACTGTCTCTCTCACACACACACACACACACACACACACACACACACACACACACGTTAACCCTTGCAGCCCCGGAGGGAATGTGTGCCCACGAATCATCTGCTTTCTGTGGGCCGGGCGATCGAACACTCAACGTGGCCAGTTGTCTGTGTGCCATAAGTGAAATATGTCTGTATTACAAAGACTTAGTCCGAAAAAAGAATGTAAAACATCTAAAGCATTTTCAAATATTGATTACATATTGAAATGATGGTACTTTGGATAACTGGGATAAAGTAAAGACATTGTATTAATACGTTGCTGGACTCAATATCCCATCAAAAATCACCCTCTCTTCTTTTTTTAAAAATTTTTAAAAAAATTATCTTACTTAAGTTTATTTATTTATTTAATTTGTCCATTTGAGCAGAGAGTGATAGAGTGAGCGTCAGAGAGAAAGAGAGAGAGAGAGGGAAAGTGAGAGAGCAAGCCGTCAGGTCAGGGACTCGAACCATGGTCAGCCCCCCACCCGCTCTCTAACACTGACGCTCTTTTTATTTATAAAAACAAGCAGACCACCGGCCCAGATGCCTGTGCTTCAGCAATGGGCAGAGCAGACGAACGTTCCTGTTCCCAGAGAACTTACATCCTAGAGGAGGGAGATGGACACTGAGCGTGGCAGGTAATCTGGGTGGTGAGTGTGAAGATGGCAGGTGCTAGAGGAAGAAGAAAGCAGAGGAAAGGAATTGCAGGGCTGGGACTGGGCAGCAGGCAGGAAGGGAAAGTCTCTCTTACATGGTGACGGTTTTGCAGACTTGAAGGAGGTGAATATGACAGTTTCAAACCACGTCTACAACACAATGTCTTGCGTACTATTTTCAGCCAGAGGTGTGAGGGGGCGGGATCTATGTTTTGTATCCTTAATCTGGACCAAATGAATGACACTGGAGTCTCTGGGGAGGGACTCAGACATTACTCGTTTTCCAGGCTTCCCTGTGATCTGGGATGTTGGAATGTGAACTTTCTAACCCCTATTGTCCCCCTTTGTTGGAGCAGAGAAAACAGGCCTCATAGGTTAGCTGGGAGAGGTAGCAGTGTGTGGCCCGGTGTAGTATAGGTCTCAGTGGAGTCAGCTTCCGGTCTCCTGTGCGTGTCTTCGGTTAGGTGTGGCCTTCTGTGTAGGTGAACTAGGCACCGGAACCTCATGGAGAGTTCTGAGGACCTGGGTTTCCCCTCCACCTGCTGACACTCATGCCTGTATTCATTGGCTAGCTCTGCTATAACAGGTTTGTTGGTGGACTCAAACCAGACGAGCTCACTGTCTCGCAGCTCGGGAGTCTGCAAGTCTGGGCTCAGGGTGTCGGCTGGCTTTGTTCCCTCTCAGGCTGTGTGTGCCTTCCTCCCAGCTGCTGGTGGCTTGCTGGCGGTCTTTGCTATTTGTTGGTTTGTGGCAGCAGAATTCTAGTCGACACGTGGCATTCCCCCGATGTCTGTGTCTGGGTCCACGTTTGCCCTTTCTAGAAGGACACCAGTCGTCCTGCATTGGGGCTCACGTTAACCCCAATATAAGTCTGCCTTAACTAATTACATCCACAGTGACAGCTCTGTTTCCAAACACAGTAAAGTCATAGAGATCCTGAGTTCTAGTACTCCAGTGTGTGCATTTGGGGTCAGAGGATGACCCATTTCGATCTGTAACATGCCCAAAGGCGTAGATGTGTCTCCCCTGAAGAGCACTGTGGAAATGCAGCCTACGAAACTGCAGACCCATAGGCTTTGTTTTTAAGCACAGAAGGGGATCTTAGAGCGGACCTGGTTCAAACGTCTCTAGATAAGATGAAGAAACAGGCTCCCGAGGTAGAAGTAGCTTGCTAGGGACCCGGCCAGAAAAGTGGGTGTCGTCTCCCAGCAGGCCAGCATCTGTGGGTTTCCTCTCATTTTGGAATAAGCAGAAGATGCTTTGATTTATTAGCAGTGCTCAGTGGTTTTTGTGTGTGGGTTTGGGTTTGGGTTTTCCCCCCTACTGGAAAATATCGGAGGCAGATTGTTGAACTGGCCCATCAAAAATCACCCTCTCTTCTTTTTTTAAAAATTTTTAAAAAAATTATCTTACTTAAGTTTATTTATTTATTTAATTTGTCCATTTGAGCAGAGAGTGATAGAGTGAGCGTCAGAGAGAAAGAGAGAGAGAGAGGGAAAGTGAGAGAGCAAGCCGTCAGGTCAGGGACTCGAACCATGGTCAGCCCCCCACCCGCTCTCTAACACTGACGCTCTTTTTATTTATAAAAACAAGCAGACCACCGGCCCAGATGCCTGTGCTTCAGCAATGGGCAGAGCAGACGAACGTTCCTGTTCCCAGAGAACTTACATCCTAGAGGAGGGAGATGGACACTGAGCGTGGCAGGTAATCTGGGTGGTGAGTGTGAAGATGGCAGGTGCTAGAGGAAGAAGAAAGCAGAGGAAAGGAATTGCAGGGCTGGGACTGGGCAGCAGGCAGGAAGGGAAAGTCTCTCTTACATGGTGACGGTTTTGCAGACTTGAAGGAGGTGAATATGACAGTTTCAAACCACGTCTACAACACAATGTCTTGCGTACTATTTTCAGCCAGAGGTGTGAGGGGGCGGGATCTATGTTTTGTATCCTTAATCTGGACCAAATGAATGACACTGGAGTCTCTGGGGAGGGACTCAGACATTACTCGTTTTCCAGGCTTCCCTGTGATCTGGGATGTTGGAATGTGAACTTTCTAACCCCTATTGTCCCCCTTTGTTGGAGCAGAGAAAACAGGCCTCATAGGTTAGCTGGGAGAGGTAGCAGTGTGTGGCCCGGTGTAGTATAGGTCTCAGTGGAGTCAGCTTCCGGTCTCCTGTGCGTGTCTTCGGTTAGGTGTGGCCTTCTGTGTAGGTGAACTAGGCACCGGAACCTCATGGAGAGTTCTGAGGACCTGGGTTTCCCCTCCACCTGCTGACACTCATGCCTGTATTCATTGGCTAGCTCTGCTATAACAGGTTTGTTGGTGGACTCAAACCAGACGAGCTCACTGTCTCGCAGCTCGGGAGTCTGCAAGTCTGGGCTCAGGGTGTCGGCTGGCTTTGTTCCCTCTCAGGCTGTGTGTGCCTTCCTCCCAGCTGCTGGTGGCTTGCTGGCGGTCTTTGCTATTTGTTGGTTTGTGGCAGCAGAATTCTAGTCGACACGTGGCATTCCCCCGATGTCTGTGTCTGGGTCCACGTTTGCCCTTTCTAGAAGGACACCAGTCGTCCTGCATTGGGGCTCACGTTAACCCCAATATAAGTCTGCCTTAACTAATTACATCCACAGTGACAGCTCTGTTTCCAAACACAGTAAAGTCATAGAGATCCTGAGTTCTAGTACTCCAGTGTGTGCATTTGGGGTCAGAGGATGACCCATTTCGATCTGTAACATGCCCAAAGGCGTAGATGTGTCTCCCCTGAAGAGCACTGTGGAAATGCAGCCTACGAAACTGCAGACCCATAGGCTTTGTTTTTAAGCACAGAAGGGGATCTTAGAGCGGACCTGGTTCAAACGTCTCTAGATAAGATGAAGAAACAGGCTCCCGAGGTAGAAGTAGCTTGCTAGGGACCCGGCCAGAAAAGTGGGTGTCGTCTCCCAGCAGGCCAGCATCTGTGGGTTTCCTCTCATTTTGGAATAAGCAGAAGATGCTTTGATTTATTAGCAGTGCTCAGTGGTTTTTGTGTGTGGGTTTGGGTTTGGGTTTTCCCCCCTACTGGAAAATATCGGAGGCAGATTGTTGAACTGGTTGTAACCACAGTTGGAGGGAAGGGACAGGCAAAGGTGGGTACTTCCACTCTAGACTCCCGCGGGTTAATGCAAGAGCTTTGGACGAGTTTTAATGATGTACTTGAGGTCTGCATCCCCAGCTAGGTGGACCGAAAAGCAAGGTCATTTTGTCTCCACCAAGAGAACTGAGCAGGGTGGTCTGACCCACACAGGCCCTGCTCCACACTCCATTCTCCAGTTCCCAGGTTCTAACCCAGGGCCTCCACCAGCACAGAGCTTTTAAGAACTGTAATGCTCTTGGGTAGAAAAATGAAGCAACCTAGTGCTATGAGCTTTTCCCATCTAGCCTGTGATGTTTGTTACAGCAGCCCCCACTGACTAAGACAACCAGCCAGAGGTAGTCGTGCATTCATGCTCGCCTTTAACTTGTGTGTGTAATACAGTGGGGCTTTCTGTTTTTATGAAACGGTTGTAAAGTCATTCGTATTTATCTAGGACACAGTGGCATACAAGGTAGGTACTTCTACCTGCTCAGCCTCCTGCACACTCCCCCCCCCCCCCCCCCAGTGTGACCAAGTCTACATTACTTCTCCGCAGTTTTACAGATGAGGAAACTGGGTCTCCAAGAGGCCTCTGGTCACAGCAGGAAAAATCAAAGAGCTGGATCAGGGGGTAGATCCAGGGCTCAAATGACAAGGGCTTTTTCAGGTCTCTTTGACTGGGCCTTCCCTGTGTGGAGTCTACATTACTTCTCCGCAGTTTTACAGATGAGGAAACTGGGTCTCCAAGAGGCCTCTGGTCACAGCAGGAAAAATCAAAGAGCTGGATCAGGGGGTAGATCCAGGGCTCAAATGACAAGGGCTTTTTCAGGTCTCTTTGACTGGGCCTTCCCTGTGTGGCAACCTCTGCCTCGTCACAGGCAGGATTCCCAAATGAAAGCTGTTGGGGTTCAACAAAGCTTAACTCCAAACACACTGGGTGACGTTTGGGCTGGTGGGCCTCAGAAAAGAGACTAAGCCCATGGGGCGAGGGTCTGGCAAGCATGGGGAGAGGAAACAGAAGGACAAGAGTCAAGAGAGGGCCTCCTGCCCACTCAGCAAGCCAGCCACAGACATTGCTGGGCACGCAGGGTGGTCCTGACAACTGGATTTGTACTCTCAAGGGACTTCCACTTTGCTGACACCGTGTGTGGCCTGGGCTTCCCTGGCTGGGAGACATGCTCTGCTTCAGCGAGTTCCTCTCTCCCTGATTCCAGGGAACTCCTGCAGGTGGGAATGCTGCGGAGAGGACCTTCCCTAGAACCACCGTGGGATTTCTGTTCTGGCAGCAGCAGGCGGTCTGCAGCCCGTGGCCAGGACTGCCCTTTTGACTGCAGAGAGGGGTGGGCCGGGAGGGTCCAGCTCACCCCTAGCACACCTAGCACACCTAGCAGTGGTCTCTGTGGGCGGGAGATGGGAAGGACAAGGAAGGGCTGCCGTTGGGAATGTCAGGCGTGGCCCCTGGTGTGCAGCTGCCTGGCTGAAATTTCCAGCGGTCTCACCCCTTCTCCCTCTCCCTCCCCGCACACTCCTCCTCCTTTGTGCCTCTTCCCCTGGGTTCCTGAGGAGCCAGGTGAGGGGAAAGCTTCGGCCTAAAGGCTCCCTGGGAGCTCGCCAGCCAGAGCTCCGGCCCTCACAGCTGTGTGAACACACAGGCAGGTGTACATATCCACTGCGCCCAGGGAGATGGCTACAGGGTCCAAAGGGATGCTTGGAAGAGCCTCTTGGGCTGCACAGGGGTGGGATGGAGGAGGAGAGGGTGGAGAGCCTCTCAAAGGGTGTGCTCCATAGTAACAGGCGGCCCCTAAACCTGCCTTCTGGGAAGGACAGGATCAAGACCTGGGTGCTCTGGTTTGGCCGAGTGGGTGTGTGGGCTTGAGGCTTCTGCCCTTCTGCTCCCAGGGTCACCCTGCCCTCTGAAGAAAAGCAGAAAAAGGTCTAATAAGTTGGAAAGGGTGCTGAAGGACTAGCCTGACCAGAAGTCTGTAGGCTTGGCTCTGACCACTTACCCCCGTCTCCTTCCTCTGCTGTTTCTTCTGTCAGTGGAATGTGATGGCCCTGCCTAAGTTGGCAAGTCCACAGTCCTGGCCTCTTCACTGGTGCGTCCTCAGCCCTCTCTGGCAGGCGCTTTGGCTTCATTATTATTTTTGTTTAATGTTTATTAATCCCATGGGTGAGAGAAGCAGACAAAGGGAACAGACGCCTAGAGAGACAGCAGCCCTGCGGTCTTGCTGCCAGCCCACCCAGATCACAGGCGGCATGTGCTGGTGTACCAGGGAGGTCTGTAGACACGAGCCTGTCGCCTACCCACGTGGGTCTGCTTCTCAGAGCATGGCGTTTTATCACTGTGCCACTGTCCAGCCCCTACACCCCCGGGCTTCACTGTCAAAGCTGGCCCCTGTTCTTGCCTAGGCAGTCCGGCCTCTCCAGGGCCATGGAAGCTGCAGCCAGGCCTGGGGGGACCTGCCTTCCGCCCTCTCTAGGCCCCCACTGGGGCCTGGGTCGGTAGTGGGGGGACCTGCCTTCCGCCCCCTCTAGGCCCCCACTGGGGCCTGGGTCGGTAGCTATGTATTCAGCAAGCACAGGTGGAATGCCTGCTGTGTGCGCAGTCCTCTCACAGGACTGTGGAGGCCGAGTGTAGACCGTGGCTTTGACTTTGGGTATGAGGTTGTGGTTCGGGTAAGAGGCAGACATGTCCCCCTAACTGGAGGCAAAGCTGAGTAGACCATGGCTACAGAGAGGGACAAGCAAGGTTCCCGTGAGTGCAGGCTGGGAAAGAAGGTCCGGAGCTTTAGAGAAGTCACCCGGGGCAGAGATGACAACCCGTGCCCCTAGACATGGCCTCTGCAAATGATAAACTTGGAGAACAATGACAGTGTCATTCTTTGCTCCCACTCAGCGCAAAGTGGCCGGATACCAGGGCTCAAGGCTAGGCTGCTGTCCCTAGCAGCTCGTAGTCTGATGGGGTGGGGAGGTAAGACATGGATGTGTGTACCTACCCCCCAAGGTGGAGACAGGCAATGTAATTTTCAGGGATACAAGCAGGTGCCATGGCAACCCAGAGTGCCCTTCTGATGTGCAGATTGGAGACTCCTGGAGGACCTGGCCTTTCAGCTGAGGCTTCTAAGCTGGGGAACAGAAGGACGAGTGTTCTAGGCCCAGGCGACAGCATGACGAAAGCCCAGGGGTGGGAGATCGGGACAAGAATGTCTGGAAAGATGTCAGGGTCCTATGCTGCTGGGTCCCGGGCTGCTTGAGGAAGGGGTTAGATACAAGAAAAATGAGGTTGTTGGCTGGCACCAGCTTGTGGAGACCTGCGGGAAGCCTTGGGAGATGTTTGCTCTTTATTTGTGAGTAATGAGGAGCCATTAAAGGTTTGGGGGCGTCAGGGCAAAGGCAGCCTAATGGGGGAAAGAGAAGAACTACGAGGAGACGCTGAGGAAGACAGACCATGCTTCAGGGAGGACGCGGTGGGCAGGCAATGGTAAGAGCAGCTCCAAGAGCCACGTGGAGGGCCGAGGCAGGACCGGCTGGGAGAGTTGAGGAGATGGCATGCCAGGCTCCAAGAGGACTCAAGGTTTGGCATGTAGGCGGCCCTGAGCCAAGCAGGGGAGGACATTTTTGGTGGGAAGTGGTCATTCTGAGGTCAGCTCACTAGCCACCTGGGAAGGATGAGACGTTGGAGGAGTCTTTGACCCGGGTGCCTTTGCCAAGGTGGGCGTTTGCTGCACAGCCTTCCGGGCAGGACCATTGGCACCGGGAGGCTAGAACTGTGCCTTGTTCATCTTCGGATCCTGTGAGTGAATTATGCAGAAGGTACTGGCTACATTCATGCCGTTAATAAAATACGAGCTAAATGTCTGGGGCCAGTTCCTGTACTGGGAACCGAAGCCGGGATCCTGAACACTTTTGCCGTCTAGTTATGGGTGGTTTGAACTGGATTTCATCAGGACTGTGCTCATTTGAAGGTGTGTGATTGCTCCTGTCCCGCAGACTGTCTCATCCAGCAGTCCCCGAGGCGTGCCTGGGAGCCCACCACTCCTAAGTGATCAGGCCGGCCAGGCCAGCCCTCAGCCAGGAAAGGGAGAGCACACCCTGCCAGCAGCCAGCATCATACAGTTCCCACACGAGCGAGCTTCGGGCCCTCGTAAATTCTCAAAGGATGCTCCGTTCATGTTTTGGAAACTCCTCATAAGAAACGTGTGTCTAAATGAAGGAATGGGTGTTGAACTCAGAGTCCAAGAAATGCTTTTCTGGATGGTGATATAAATTCTCTGGTGGGAAGCCACTTCTGTGCAGGGGAGGGGCATGTGGGAGCCATGGTGAGCTGAACCTTCCCTGCCCTGGTGGCAGGTTGCATCCCCACTGTCGTGTCCTCTGCATTGTCCCTTCTGCTGCGCTTCTCCAGGCTCCCTGCAGCTGCCCTGTCCACCGTGGCCTGCAGTCAGCTCCTCTCAGTAGAAGGAGAAGCCCTCATAGGCGAAGGCGCCAGGGCTGTGGGTGAATGGAGACGGGCTGGGTGCCTGCTGCCGACAGAGCCAGAACTGCCGGAAGAGCCTTTGGAGGTGCCTGCGGAACTTGACCCCAACGAAGACGTAGAGCACCGGGTTGAAGCAGCAGTGGGAGAAGGCGAGGTTGCGGCAGATCAGCACGGCCAGGTCCAGCTGCTGGCTGACCTCACAGCTCTCGATGACCCGCCTGTGCAGCAGGGTCTGCAGAAACAGGGCCACGTTGTAGGGTGCCCAGCTGAGGAAGTACACCGTCACGATGATGAGGATGAGCCTGACCGTCCGGTGGGGCCGTTTGGACCGTGAGCGGAACAGGGTCCTGAGAATCTCCACATAGCAAAACAGGATGACCACCATGGACAGCAGGAAGAAGAAGTTGTGCTGGTAGACGGAGGCCAGAAACCCCTGGAGGTCAGAGTAGACACAGCCCCAGGGCAACACCCTGTGGTAGATGGCGTCCGGGACGGAGGACAGGATGCTGGCCACCCATACAGCCATAGTCAGCAGCACACGGCAGCGGAGGGTGTGGACGTGCAGGGTCGAGAGGGGCCTGACCACGGACAGGTAGCGGTGGATGGTCATGATGGTCACCAGGAAGATGCTGCTGTAGAGGCTGATGGAGAAGACCATGCTGAGGAGCTTGCAGAGGAAGTCTCCCAGCACCCAGCCCCAGTGGTAGCCCGAGACCCACACGGGCAGCAAGCAGGTGAACACCAGGTCTGAGAGGCACAGGTTGAGGATGAAGACGTTGGTGAGGGACTCCAGGTTCTCGTACCTCACCAGGACCCACAGCACCAGGTTGTTGCCCACCAGGCTGAGGAGGAATACCAGGCTGTACAGGACGGTGGTGGTGAAGGTGGAGAAGACAAAGGTCTCGCTCTCACACAGAAGGCTCTGAGAGTCATAGTCAAAAGCGGTGGTGGGCTCTGGCAAACCAGAGGACTCCATGTGGACCAGATGGCCGGGGCAGGAAAGCGTCTGAAATGACAGAGACAGGAGGTTGAAGCCGTGTGGTTAGGCTAGACACCAGGAGGACCCATAGCACAAACGAGTGTGGCTGTGGGCCGGCCGCCACTTGGTGCACCATTTGTAACGCGAGGAGGGAGCGGGGAAGAGTGGTGGAAAGAGAAGAGCTTCAAAGATGCAAGATCAAATTTGGGCCCCATTACTTTGCTCTTGGGGCTAGTTAACCTTTCTGAACCTTGGTTCCTCACCTGCAGAATGAGACTATGAGAGTCAACCCTGCATTTACTCACGAGTTTCAAACGTCTACTCCGCCTGCCTTTCTCCGTTCTTCCTGCCTGCCTTTCTCCCTTCCTCCTCTCCCTCCTTTCTGTCTTTCCATAAAGTACAGAATCCTGATGGCACGACTGTGTCAGAGAAATCGCTGTCTCCTAGAATAGCCCCGGAAGGAGAGGACACAGAACAAATAACCTCAGGACTACAATGCACGTGGAGACTGGCGACTAGACGCTAACTCAGGTTCCCTCCCAGAGCAGAGAGCTCCACCATTTGGCAGGCCAGTTGACAGAGCATCCCATCCCGTAAGTGCAAGCATGTGACCGCAGCTTAGAGGAGAGGAGGCAGGGGTGGGTGGGGTGAGGGGACTAAGTAAACCAACCCAGAGTGACACTTCACCTTTTCTCCAGTTAGTGAGGTGTGAGACTTAGTGGGACTAGAAGGCTGAGGAGGAGGGAGGGAGGGTGACTAGAGAGCTGGGATTTTTACTGGGAGGTGAATGAAGTTTAGGCCAGGGATGGAAGCTTGGGTGGAGCAACTGGCTGAGCCAGTAAGAGAGGCCCTGGCCCGCTGTGGTCCAGGCCTCATTTCATCCTGCACCTCACCATGAGGCACGGCCACTTCGATTTTACAGGAGCGGACGTTGAGGCTCAGGCTGGGAAATGTCCTTGTCAGTTTATAAAGCCAGTAAGAGCTGTCGATGAGAGGACAACTGCAGAGTCGAAGTGCCAACGAAATGGAAAGTTACGGGTCTCATGAAGCCAGCACAGAGTGACAGCCAGCCTTCGAGCCGTGTGATCAGAAGGGCCAGCAGCGGGGTCCTGTGAAAGTGGCCGGTATGTCACTTTCTGTGGAACACGCTTCCTTTAGACTAAACAACAAGGCAGGCTGAGAAAAGAGCTCACGCTGGTCGAAGGGACAGAAGAGGCTCTGGGGAGATGGGAAGGGACAGGATTGGGGAAAAGTCCATCGGCAGAAGTTCTCGGGGGCAGCTTACTGGGCAGGTTAATGGTCCCTTCTTTGTGGTCAGCATGATGTGTGGTCAGCTCTAAAGGGATCTGGTGCAATTGTTTTTTTTTTTTTTTTTTGAATTGGGCAGGTTAATGGTCCCTTCTTTGTTGTCAGCATGATGTGTGGTCAACTCTAAAGGGGTCCGGTGCAATTTTTATTTTTTATTTTTGAGAGGTTTTTGCTATAGGGTGCATGTGCTCGCCAGAAAGACAGAGAGAGACAGAGACAGAAAGTGAGAAATCAGCTCCTGGGGGGTTGGCCAAGTCATAATCCCTTCTCTATTCTCCTGTTGGGATCTTGGGCACTCACACACGCCTGGCATGAGTGTAAGCCACCGGGTCTGGGACTCGAACTGTGGTCAACCACATGGGAGTCCAACAGCATAGCCATTATGCCAACTTCTTGTCCCCAGTGCAAGTTTTTATCACAAGTAAGAATGTCATCATGAAGGTCAGGAAGCGGAAGCAGGCTGTCAGCAACACTCTCTTTCTGTCCTCTGGTTTCAATTTAAATAGCAGTCTTTTCAGGATAAATTTTATCTTCACATCACAAAAAGAGCCAAGGTTGGAATCCAGCCTCTGTTGCCTTATATTTTGAAGAAAATTAGAGAAATAGTCTAAGTTTTTCACTTATTTAGACTTGGATAAATGAATAGTAAGGGGGGGGTCCTTAAAATTTATTCTACTTAAGGGAGTCGAATCAATTGTGTCTCCAGAAACCAAAATGAAGGTAGTCCATTTATTTTGTAACCTTTGATTCCTAAAGAGAAATTTGCATGCTTTTCTGTGTTCACTGCCCACTTGTGTTTTCCTATTTTCAAAAGATTTATAGATTTTTTTCTTCTTGGAACAATAATTTTTTCTTACAGATTTTTAAGATTGTTTACCAAATACTGTCAACCCCTTGTGCTTTTAGCCTGTCAATTTTCTTATTTTCAACAGATTTATAGATTTTTCTCCTTTTTCTTCTTGAAACAAAAAAAATGTTTTTCTTATAGATTTTTAATATTATTTACTTAATATCATCAACCCTTGGGAAGCCTCACAATGTTGTCTCTTGTCTTAATTTTTTTGACATGTAGATACCTGGGTGTTTACATCCTAAAGATGGCCACAGTGTCTCAACGTGTCAGCCCTTAGCGACCACAACGCCCTGTGATAAATGCGGGTTCTGGAATATACACCTGAGTTGCAGACAGTCTTTACCTACAGGAAGCTTATGGGTTATAGAATAACATGGAATTAGCAATTCGGCAAACACCTGGGTTTCCTGAAGCATGACAGGCTGGAAGTGGGGTATTTGGGGACAGAGGCCTCTGAACACCCTTTACACCATACAAGCCACCCTAAGTCTGAATAACCCATTGACCAGAATAGACTGACCCGTCTTCTTAACATCACTACCAGGCTTTGTGGTTGGAAGTTTCTTGAAGTGAAAGGGCTTCTCCAGAAAAAGAAAATACCCACCCTTATATTTTAACTTACTAAAAGAAGCCGTTTAGTAGACTCTTGTAACCAAGCCACAGGAGAACCAAAGTGACTCTACCTTGTAGTTAGTTAGTCTTGGAGTTCCTCGTACTAGAGTAAACTTTAGGGAAACCAGTCTTTACCTTCTGTCTGTCCCTTCCGAATCTTATAGAACCTAGCCTGCCACTGCCCTCACAATACCTTGCTGAGACTGTCCAGGTACCTGGCTATAGAGATGGAGGCAGGAGAGACCCCAAGCCCCTCCCGTACGAAGATGTCACCTGGGAGCTCATGCATTGCAAAGCCTCACCTAGACCCTCGCTGCTTCTGTCAACAAGCCAGGATCTAAGAGTCACCTTGACATGCTCGTTTGGATTCTTCTGCCTTGTTCGCCATTGCTTATCTCTAAGCTCCTTGCAGAGAAAGGGAACTGGAAACCTTCTCCCCTGCTTGCCCCTGACCTACCAGGTATCTTTGTGATCCTGCCTGAAGACAGTAACCAGGCCTCCCTGTGATCTGTCCCACAGCAATGACACGTGAAGCTTCTGAGTGTACCTCACACTGACCCCCTTCTCCTACGGAAGTTTTGTCTCTTACCCAGTCCGCTGGAGGTGGTTATGAACTCCCTTCCACTTCCCCCCGGTGTTGGTCTCGCCGAGTAAGTCCTTTTCCTTATTCATCAACTCTTTCACGTCTCCGAGTGGCACACCTGGTTTGCGGACCCCTGAATAAACACCCTTGCTTGTTCCAGCACTAGCCTCCATGTCTAACCCCTCTCTGTCTCATGGCACAGACCAGATGATGGTTGGCCTCTTTGGGTGGAACCAGTGATGCCTGCATCGCTGAGGCAGACTAATCGCACTCCTCCATTCTCGGAGTTCACATTTTCCTCTTTGACTCTTTAGAATAAAAGATGTCTGAGATAATGGAATCTCGGCCAATTCAGCTGCCTTCCATCCTTCCCCACCTTCCTCTATCTTTTACTTTTCTTAAAAGCAGGATTTTTGCTATAAGGTGAGTGTGCCGAACAGAGAGACAGAAAGCTAGAAATTACCCCAGGGGGGATGGCCATGCAGCAATCCCTTCTCTCTAATTTTGGTCATGCATGTACATGTGCTCAGTGTGAGTTTTAAGCCGCCGGGTCCGGAACTCGAACCACGCTTGCCTACATGGGAGTCCAGCGACGTAACCACTATGCCATCTGCTGGTCCTGCTCTGTCTGATCTTAATCTGTAGTCCAACCTGAATGGACTGATGAAATGACTTTTTAGTCCACATCTGCCAAGTTAACAAGTAGTGGATTATTTACTGTAGAAGATGACATAACTGCGTCTCAATTCCGGTAACCACTGAGTAAGCGTCTAGGTGGCTAGCACTTCTACAGATAAGAGCTGTAAACTCACTCACGCCAGTTGTGTGTACATGCAGGCCCAAGGTCCCAAGAGAAGAATGGAGGAGAAGGGATTGAGACATTGCCATGCTCCTGGGAGGTGATTTCTCGCTTTCTATGTCTCTGTCTCTCTCCATTTCCCTGGCAAGTGCAGACTCCGGTTTGAGTCCAGACCCAGTGGCTTCAGAAACATGTTGGGTGTGTGTGCGTGCATGCTCAAAATCCTGAAAGAAGGGAGAGATGGAGGAGAAAGGATTGCAGTGTGACCATTCCCTATGGAGAGTGATTTCTCTTTTCTCTTTATCTCTCTGTCTCTCTCTGGAGAGTGCATGTGCCCTTTACCAACAAGACAAATTACAAAATATTTTGGACTGAATAATAATGTAAATACCACATATCAAAACTCATGGTTTGAGGGGCTAGCAGATGGTGTGGTGGTTAAGGGTGCTGGACTCTTGCATGGCTAACCATGGTTCAAGTCCTGGACCTGGCAACTTTCTGTCTTTTCCTCTTTCTCTCTCACTCTGTCCCTCTCTGGTCAAATTAAGATAATTAAAGTTAAAATAATAAAAATAATTCCTTAAAAAGAAAAAACTCATGGTATGAAACTAAAGCAGTACTTAGAGAGAAATTATAGCTTTAAATATTTATATAAAAAAGAATAAAGGTCTCAAATCAAAGACCTAAATCAATGACTTCAGAAACTAGAAAAAGTTAAACTTAAACGAAAGAGAGATAATATTAATTAAAAGGCAGGAGTGAAGAAAATAGAAATAAGAGAGTAAATAAAGTTAAAATCAGTTGTTTGAAAAAAATTAAATAGATAAATCTTAGATTGATTTAGAACAGAAAGAGAATACAAATTGCCATTAACAGGTTATATTAAAGAAGGCTTATTTCTACAGATCTTACAAACTTTAATAGAAGAGCAAATATGATGATCAATTTTATGTTAATAAATTCTATGAAATGGAGAAATTTCTTTAAAAATTCAACATACCAAAATTAACATAGATGATACAGAAAGGCTCAATGGTCTTATACTGATTATAGAAATATAATGAACTATTCAGAAGTCTTGCCTCACTTGATAAATGCAGTAAAGCACGTGAAAAGATTCAACACTCATTCATAGTGTAAAGCCTCAGCATATCAGAAATAAAAGAGAAATTGGGCACCTACCAGCACCGTCCCACTTTCCATTGGTTATTAATTCATTTGCTCAGACATTTCAGAGGTGACCGAGTTCTGGGCCTGGAAGGCCTCGGGGGTACAAAGGAGAGAGATGCCAAATGTCCTCTCCAGTTATAGTCTAGGCTTCGGTTCCTTTTCGCATGTCGTCCTTCCCCCTCCCCAACTCCATGACCCACTTCAACTCCAGGGGACTGAACTCAGCTTTCAAAACCTAATTGAGATTGAGAAACAGCTCAAAATTATACAACCACAGACCAGCTTTTCTAAAAAGAATGCAGATTCCTGGGAAGACCAAAGACATCAGAGCCTATAGAGGGTAAATAATATTCAGAAATTTGCATATATATTAGTCCTCCGGGTGGTTCTGATGCGCACCCAAGTTTAGAACTCCTGTTACAGTCTATTAAAATTCGAGGGAAACATAAGTAGAAAATGTCTGTAAAAGAACTAACCTGAATCGACAATGCTTTACGTGCGTCGTGAAGCAGAAATGATGTTTCTCTGTTTCATATTCCACTCAAAGAGACCCAAACACCTGCCCTGCCCAGAAGGCGAGAGGAAGGTGGGGCTGGGGCTGGGAAGCACTAATATGAAGAGTCTCAGAGGGAAACAGGGTCTTTTTTTTTAAAAGAGATTTTTGCTATAGGATGCATGCACTCACTAGATAGACAGAGAGACAGAAAATGAGAAATCACACCCAAGGGGGGATGGCCACACCACAATCCCTTCTCTTTCATTCTCCTCTTGGATTTTGGGCACATACACACAGGTGCCCAGTGTGAGTTTTTAAAGTCACTGGGCCTGGAGCTTGAACCAGGATCGACTATGTGGGAGTCCAGCACTGTAGCCATTATGCCATCTGCTGGTCCCAGAAACAGGATCTTTTAACAAGGGTGCCAAGGCTGTTCAGTTGGGAAAAAATAGTCTTTTCAACAAATGGCACCAGAACAACACACCCATACAAAAGAATAAATTTGCATCCTTCTCTCATATCATACACAAAAATTATCTCAAAATGAATTAAAGAACCAAATGTAAGAGCAAAATCTGTAAACCTTATGTGTGTCAAAGGACATTATCAAGAAATTAAAAAGGAATTTTGAATCTATAGATAAACTTGGAGAACATGGCCATCTTCACAATATTGAATTTTCTATCCATGAACACTGGATGTCTTTCCATTTATTTAGGTCTTCTTTGATTTCTTTCTGTATTGTTTTGTGTTTTTCAGTGTATACATTTTACATATTTTTGGTTCGATTTATTTCAAAGCATTTTTAATGCTACTGTGAATGAAATTGTTTTCTTAATTTCATTTTCATATTGTTCATTTCTAGTGCATAAAAATACAACTCATTTTTAAGTGTTGATTACGTATCTTGAACTGATTTATTAGTTTTATGTGTTCTTTTTGTGGATTCTTTACGGTTCCTGATATATAACTCATGACTTCTGCATATAGGAGTGTTTTACTTTCTGTCATATCTGGTTACCTTTTCAATCCCTTGTCTAATTGCCCTGGCTGGAACCACCGGTACAGTGTTGAATGAGAATTTTGAGAGTGGACATCCTTGTCTTATTTCTCATCTTAGGAGGAAAGTTTCTCATCTTTTACCATTAAATATGATATTAGCTGTTTTAATATATGCTATTTATCAGATTGAGGAAGTTCCATTCTATGCCTAATTTGTTGAGTTTTTGGTTTTTTTTTTAATCATTAAAGAGTGTGGATTTTTGTTTAAGTGCTTTTAACACATCTCTTGAGTTCCACTGTATGGAAGTACTACCAATTTTTTATTCCTTCAACTCTTAAAATATATCCTGTTTGCTCCCATTTCTTGACAATTATGAAAAATACTTTATAACGAATACTTTATACAATTAGGAAAAATACTTTATCCTTCTTGAAGGATATCTTGGCTACTCCCATTTCTTGAAAATTATGAAAAACACTTCCAATAATATGTATTTAAAAAGTATTTTTATATACTATACATTTTGTGTGTAGGTGCAGATTTCAGTGTAGACAGAAGTTCTGAGTTGGGTAAGTTGGGTAAGTTTTGGTATGGATTCAAGTTGTTTCTTTTTTTAGAACAATTTCTGTTATAGGGCGTCTGCGCTCACTGGAGAGACAGAGGGACAGAAAGTGAGAAATAACTCCTTTGGGGGGATGACCATGCCACAATCCCTTCTCCTCCATTCTCCTCTCAGGATTTCGGGCACGCATGCACATGCACCTAGCATGGGCTTTCTTTCTTCTCTTTTCTTTTCTTTTTCTTTTTTTTTCCTTTTTTTTTTTTTTTTTTTTTTTGAGAGTGTTTTTGGTATAGGGAGCATGCACTCTCCAGGAAGACAGAGAGAGAGACAGAGAGACAGAAAGCGAGAAACCCCCCCCCCCCCCAGGGAGGGGTGGCCATGCTGCAATCCCTTCTCCTCTGTTCTCCTCCCAGGATCTTGGACATGCATGCACATGCACCCGGCATGATTTTGAAGCCACCAGGTATGATACCTGAACCGCGGTTGGCCATGTGGCAGTCCAGTGACGCAACTGTTAATTCCATTTATTATTATTATTATTTTAAACATTCTATTGCTACACATCATTTGGCTTGTAAAGAGAATTTACCCAGTATGAAATACATCTTGGACCAGACCAGTTGAGAATACTATACATGTTATCATCACCAGGTAATAAACCATTTCTGTGTCCCACAAACATCTTGCCTCTCTATTTTTTCTCCCTGATTTCCTTCCCTATACTCTCCCACCCTCCTTCCACACTTCTCCAGTGTCCATAATTGTTTTCATTGCTTTTACATCCTCCAATCTTTCCATCTCTATCATAGAGTGCGGACAGTTGGAATACATTTAGTGGAGATATACAATGACTCTCTTTCATAGCCTGGCTTGCTTCACTCAGTAATAAATCTTCCATACTTGACCATTTTCTTCTTTATTTTTTTTGGAGGGGTTTTTGATACAGGACGTGTGCACTCACCGGAGAGACAGAAAGTGAGAAATCACCCCCCAGGGGGGATGGCCACGCCGCAATCCCTTCTCCTCATTTCCCCCATAGAGTGTAGACAATTGGTATAAAGTAGAGACATAAAATAAGTCTCCTTCATAACCTGGCTTGCTTCACTCAGCAATAAATCTTCCATATTCATCCACCTTCTATCAAATGCCAGGTCTTGTTTTTTATAGCCGAGTAGTATTCCATAGAGTACATGTACTACAGTTTTTCAATCCATTCATCTGTTCATGGACATTCGGGTTGGTTCCATGTCTTAGCAATCATAAATAAGGCTGCAGTAAACACTCACGTGCAAACGCTTTTCTGACTGAGCATTCTCCTGTCCTTTGGGTAGATACCCAGGAGTGGATTTGCTGGATCATATGGCAGTTCTATTTGTAGGTCTTTGAGGAATCTCCATATTGTTTTCCACAGTGGCTGGACCAATTTACTTTCCCACCAACAGTGTGGGAGAGTTCCCCTTTCACCACATCCCCGCCAACACTTACCATTTTTTGTATTTTAATTTTTGCCATTCTGACAGGGGTTAGGTGGTATCTCATTGTGGTTTTAATCTGCATATCCTTTATGATGAGGGATGTTGAGCATTTCCTCATATGCTTTTTGGCTCTTTGTATGTCTTCCTTGGAGTTTTTTGTTCAGCTCATTTTCCCATCTTTCAATTGGGTTAATATTTTTTTTCCTGGTAAGCTGCTTTAGTTCCCTGTACTCTGGTTATCAGTCCCTGGTTATCAATAATGTACAAAAGTGCCCATTGTCATGCACCTGGTCAGAACTGGATGTTGGTAACTTTGAAAATTGCAGTCATTCTGAGAGAATAGAAATACATCATTTGATTCAAATTTTATATTATTTTGAGCTTGGGCATGTTCCCCAAGGAATTACTGGCCGATTAAATGTGTGTGTGTGTATTTGCTCTTCGCCCATGTGAGTAATTATTGAGAAGACTCATATAGCAAGTGTTCAACAAATGTTATTCCCTAAATTTGAAGACAGAATTTGAAACTAAAGTTTTCACATTTCCTCATGCTTGGTTTCAGTGTGGAAAAATTCATGTTCTTGCTTTAAATGAAACGTGCTAACACAGTTGTCAGACTGACCAGAAGTGGGACTGAGTCCAGCCTCAGGGAGACTAGACCTCTAGAAGTGAAAGTCCAGTCCTGGGAACATCACGATGAGGACAGGGACCTGGCTCCCACCGTCGGGGTTGGGCAACCTGTAAGGAAGTGAGATTTGGGACAGAGACCAAGCCTCAAAGCTCTTTGGCACCAGCACGCAGAGTGGGGCCATTGGTAGGAATTACTTGCTATTAATATTCATTGGTTCAGGGCCAGCCAGAGGCATGATTAAGGTGCTGGATCCCACATGACCTACTGCACAGTTCGAGTCCTAGACCTGGAGGCTTACAAATCATTCCAGGCACATGTGTGTGCTCACCCAAAATCCCAAGAGGAGACTGGAGGAGAAGGCATTGCTGCATGGCCAGCCCCCAGGGGTGATTTCTCACTTTCTCTCTCTCTCTCTTGCAAGCACACATGCCCTATAACAAAAACTAGAGTTGTGTGTGTGTGTGTGTGTGTGTGCGTGTGTATTTACTGCTCTATATTCCCTCAGTCTCATGGTCTAATTGGACCAATTTTTTTTAAAGAATTATTTCTTTTCTTTTATTTATTATTACTATTATTTTTCTTATTTTGCCATAGGGCACAGTAGAGATGGGGAGGGAGGGAAGTGAGAAAGCAAGCCATCAGGTCTGGAACTCCAACTGTAGTCTAGCACCCAACCACCACGTCACGCATTGGCCCCTGGACCAAGTCTAACAAGATACATGCACCAGCCCCCTGCACGTGGGACAGCCATAGGTGTGTTGTCGCATCCAAGATCTTGCAGTTTTGAGAGCCCTTGGAGTTGACATCCTGGCCTGCCTGGGCAGTTTTCACAGAGGGCTTCTTCAGTCAAAGCAGCAATGAGGGGCAGTCTCGGGTGGCAGAATTGAGAAATCACCCTCCCACCCCCGGGGGATGGCCACACTGCAATCCCTT